TCTAAAAATCCCCACTCAACACGATCATAAGCTTTACTCATATCCAATTTCAAAGGCGTATATCCATTGTGACCATCTCTCTTCTTCTTCATATGATGATTCAATTCAAAGGCTATCAAAACATTATCCGTTATTAGCCTTCTTGGAACAAAAGCACTTTGAAACTCAAAAATAATATCTAGGAGAAGACGTCTTAAACGATTAGCTAGAACTCTTGATATTATCTTATCAGCTACATTGCATAATCTTATTGAACGAAACTGAGACATCTCCTGTGGCTCAAGATTCTTAGGAATTAAAACAATATGCGTGTAGTTAATCTTATTACAAAAAACCTCATAATTCAGAAAATTCAAAACCAACTCAGTAACTTGATTGCCAATGACCTCCTAGAATGGCTGATAAATGATTGGATCCATACCATTAGGTCTTGGAGCTTTAGATGGATGAAACTGTTGGATAGCTGCTTCCACTTCCATACAGAGAAAGGTTGGGTATGGAACTGATTCATAGACTGAGAAACCCTGTGAGGTACTTCTTGCAATACTTCCAACAATTCCGCCTCATCAGGAGAAGAAGAAGTAAACAATTCTTGAAAATACTGCAGAAAAATATCATCCAATTGCTCTCTATTTGTACACCAAATCCCATTCCTATTTGTTAAACCTTTGATTTCATTTCTTTGTCTTCTTAAACTTGCTTGAACATGAAAGTACTTAGTGTTTCTATCTCCTTCCTTCAGCCACAATTCTTTCAACCTTTGCTTCCATGTAATTTCCTCAGCTTCTAAAAGCATTTGATTGGTTGCATGAAGCTCTCGCATTTCCTTTCTGACTTCCTCCGTTAGAGATCCTGCTTGTAAAACTTGTATACCTATGTTGTTATCTTTCAACCTTCTTTGAATATTGTAAAATCTGCCCCCTGTTCCAATTTAATAGACCCATCCAACAAGACCTTAACTTGTCCAAAAACATAATTCCATCAGATGAACCAGTAGCATTATTCCAGCATCTTTCAAAAACTTCTCTGCATGAATTATCTAACAACTACATAGGCTCAAATTGAAAACTTCTCTTCTTCCTCCAATGTTGTAGACCATTAAAAGATTCCTAAACGCTTAAAAGTAATTGACAATAGTCTGAGTTAGTGGTAGCAATATGAGTAACAAAGCTACCCAAATGACTACTAAACCAAGATGGAGACACCCACACTCTATCCAATCTTTCTTTCATAGTAGCTGGGGCTAATGAACCATTACACCAAGTATAAGGACTTCTTCTAAAAGCCAAATCCAATAAACCACAATAATTCATAACTTTTTTGTAATCCCTCATTTGCCATAGAGCTCTGTCATGACCCCCCAATTTTTCTGATGCATCCATTATTTCATTAAAATCTCCTCTAGAAACCCAAGGCATATCAAATCTATTTCTCAATTTTGACAATAACTCCCATGACTGTTTACGAAGGCTAGTTCTTGGCCATAAAATTCAACAAATCTCCACTATCCCTTCTCCCCTCATTTATAATTGCTTCGATATAAAAATTCAAAAAACTTTTAACACTTACCAAATAGTCACGCTTCCATAACAAAGCCAGACCCCAAGCACTTCCCTTTCCATCCACTATGAGACCTTGGAATAAACCAATTTTCTGTTGAATCCATTGAATTCATGAATCAATTTTGGTTTTCATTAGAAAAACCAACTTGGGAGCTTCCCTCTTCATTAAATGATGAAGAGCACGAACTGTCTGAAGGTTCCCAAGCCCTCAATAGTTCCAAATAATGCCATCATGTTGATCGGCAGGACTGGGGACCAATTTTTGCCCAAAGAGAAAGTGTAAAAACATCATTTGTAAATCCCTCCTTATTTTATAATTTATCCGCAGCATCCTTGAAAGCCCTTGTCTTCTTCGGAGGATCCTCATCTCCTTTGCATTCCAAACTCCTCTTCTCACCACAGATAACCTTCTGAATTGACTAGTCTGGATCTCTTGGACGAGGTTTGTAAGTCCTAATTGATTTTCCTTTTCCAATTGAGAGAATCATCGACAAGGAGCTTTGATAGACTTTCCTTCGGACAACTGATTAGGGCTAGTAGGAAGAATAGTAGAAGATATAAATAGTCTTCATGATGGGATGGGCTAGAATATATTGTTACACCCATTTCAAAGAGGGAATCATCAACATTACAGGCCAGATCTTCAGTCTTTGGGCCTTGATTTACAGGCATAGATGAAGGGGAATGGCTTTGAAATATGGGCTTAGTTGAAGACTTTTTTCCTGAACCACCAAAACCAAATCTGACTCAGTGGATAAAATTCGATTCAATCCATTAGAATTTTGATTTACCAGACTAGGAATTGAAATTAGAACCACCGATAAATAAGGGGAAGTTTTAGAAACCTCTGGCAACAATTGCCTCTGATCTATCTAAGCAATGGTTGGTTCGCTAACTGCTGCCGCCTACCGGTGAAGAATTCACATCNTAGTCTGGATCTCTTGGACGAGGTTTGTAAGTCCTAATTGATTTTCCTTTTCCAATTGAGAGAATCGTCGACAAGGAGCTTTGATAGACTTTCCTTCGGACAACTGATTAGGGCTAGTAGGAAGAATAGTAGAAGATATAAATAGTCTTCATGATGGGATGGGCTAGAATATACTGTTACACCCATTTCAAAGAGGGAATCATCAACATTACAGGCCAGATCTTTAGTCTTTGGGCCTTGATTTATAGGCATAGATGAAGGGGAATGGCTTTGAAATATGGGCTTAGTTGAAGACTTTTTTCCTAAACCACCAAAACCAAATCTGACTCAGTGGATAAAATTCGATTCAATCCATTAGAATTTTGATTTACCAGACTAGGAATTGAAATTAGAACCACCGATAAATAAGGGGAAGTTTTAGAAACCTCTGGCAACAATTGCCTCTGATCTATCTAAGCAATGGTTGGTTCGCTAACTGCTGCCGCCTACCGGTGAAGAATTCACATCAACCATAGGATTATCACACTTGAACAGAAGATTAGATTTCATAATAGTGGCATTGAACCAAGGACCAAATTCATTACTGATTTCCAATCCTTCAGCCTCCTTACGATTTACAGAATAGTGCTTCGAAATATGACCCAAACGACCACACAAAAAGCATATATGTGGCAATCTTTCATATTGAAAAATAACAAAACTCTTTTCACCCCCAAGACTCTGAAATATGCCTTAATGATTCAAGAATATTAATTCTTACCTTCAATCTAAAAAATTTCAAACCCCCATCCATAGTAGCCCGAATTTCCAATGCCTCATATTTCTAGAAACTACAAGCAATCTTCAGAGCTACATCCTTTGTATAACACTCTCTTGGAATCCCCATCACATGTAACCAAAAGGAAGTTGTATCAAAATCCATTTGCGTAACTTGCCTATTCAGAGCCCATTGTTGACAGATTAAAAACATATTATCAAAACACCAAGGGCCCATATGAAGAACTCTTGTTACATCCTTCTGGTCTTTGAAAAAGAATTGGAATAAATAAGGGTTAATTTTGATCACACACAACTCCTTGCAACCCCAAATAGAGGAGATAGTATTTCATAGAACAACAGGATTAACATGCTTCATAGTGATGATTCTATCGAAAAAACATTTTTCACATTCGAAAATACCCTCAACAATATCAGGAGTACCAATATCAAGGACATTACTTTCCTCAATAGATAAGGAAAAAGATTTCAACTTCTCAAAAAACTACTCATCCATCAGGGAAACAGGCACTGAGAAAACTCACCAAAGAAATTGATCCGAAATCAGCAAGAAAACCATAGAGAAGATCAAAGAAATGATTAGAAAAGCTTAAGCATTTAGGTACTGAGCCAACACAACACATTCCATCCATCTTTACCACCCAATGAGAAATTGAATGGTCACTTCTAGCATTTTCAATTAAGGGGGCCAAAGAAATGTCTCCACTTGTTACCAATAGTCTTTCTTTGAAATTTTACTAAACGAGTCAGCCCTATTTTTCCATATATTTTAGCTACTTATGGTAAGGTCTTCTTGCTCCCAATAACAACTGAAATAAACTAATAAAAGAACGTTGGCCTTCAAGTTGCCTGAAATCAAATGTTGTTGCAATTGGCTACCATGGATTCAAACAGGATTACATGTTGAGCACGTGAATTAAGATTAAATTCAAGACCAGAAACTCAATAGATTTCCAAATGGCCTTATGTGTTAATTTTTGAGAGACCAATCCAAGGCCCAACATCTCAACATTGGAATTGAGTAGAAATTGGGCCAAAAATGAAGCCCATGCATTTATTCCAATCATTTTAGCAAAATCATACCTGTTGTAAAATAATCATACAAGTAGATGGCCAACTTGTAATGGCCTTCCCCACTGTCTCTCCCCCACCCAATTATACAACTACCAACCACTCTATTTATGACACAATATGTATTATAGCTTTGGTGGCATATAAAAGGCCAAATGGCACTTTGCCCCCTAAAAGATTGGAAAATTTTTAATTTGCACAATGAAAGATTAATTGTTCCAAATTGCACCCTTAATGTTAATATTTGGTGACAATGTGGCCCCAAGACTGACGGACGTCGAACTTGCTGTTAACCTAAGCTATCACATGAGATGCACGTGATAACCTAAAGGACAATCATGTAAAAACACACACACCCAATTCCCCCTTTTTTTTTTGGCGCCATGGCTCCATCAATGGAATTGATTTTGCCCTAATAACATCACATGGTGCAAATGCTGGCCAGTTCTATTCATCTTCCAAAGGCCTTCATTGCTACTTTGGTTGAAGGTTGCGAGTGAGTTGAAGCTTGAAAATTGAAAAATGTCTTGGGTAGTAAGGGAAGAGAAATATAGATAAGAAGCACTGAATTATAGTAAGAGATTCCTTGTGCAATGTGAGTGTTTATGGTAAAGTTTTTATTCAAATTTGAGTGTATGTGTTCTGTATTATATTATTTAGAAATGGGTTTGTGTTTTGTATTATATTATTTTTGTTATGTTTTTATCTGATTCACGTGAGTGAATTTGGTTATATATATTAGTGGGGTATTAAACAATTGGGTTGTTTTGTTTGTGGGTCAGACATACCCATGCGAGTGTTGTCCTTTTGTTTGGATTTTCAATTTTTTAATTGTGAATGTTGTCTTCTTGTTTGAATTTGGCTGCAGACCATGGGGATGGTGTTTTCACAATTAGAATGCATTATGGTGGCCAATTCAAACATGGGAATGATCAAGTGTACGTTGGAGGGAGGGTGAATCACATTGATTTGTGTCACATAGACGAGCTTTCTTTGATAGAACTGGAGAATATGTTGAAAGTGATGGGACTGGGGCACTGCGGGATTGTCAGATTCCATCTTAGAATTCATAATGGATGGAAAGTTTTAGATGACGATGAGGATGTTTTGGGTTTGGGCAGTTGGGTCAACAAGCACAAAGTGCTTGATGTCTATGTTGAACACACCAGAGGTGATGTCCTTGATCAAAGCCAAGCAAAGTCAAATTGTGTTCCTACTGTACAACAGTTCGATGGAGAAAATAATGTGGGTTGTAGTGTTGTGGCTTCTGATAATGCATTAGACAATGATTCATCACAGNCAGGGAAACAGGCACTGAGAAAACTCACCAAAGAAATTGATCCGAAATCAGCAAGAAAACCATAGAGAAGATCAAAGAAATGATTAGAAAAGCTTAAGCATTTAGGTACTGAGCCAACACAACACATTCCATCCATCTTTACCACCCAATGAGAAATTGAATGGTCACTTCTAGCATTTTCAATTAAGGGGGCCAAAGAAATGTCTCCACTTGTTACCAATAGTCTTTCTTTGAAATTTTACTAAACGAGTCAGCCCTATTTTTCCATATATTTTAGCTACTTATGGTAAGGTCTTCTTGCTCCCAATAACAACTGAAATAAACTAATAAAAGAATGTTGGCTTTCATGTTGCCTGAAATCAAATGTTGTTGCAATTGGCTACCATGGATTCAAACAGGATTACATGTTGAGCACGTGAATTAAGATTAAATTCAAGACCAGAAACTCAATAGATTTCCAAATGGCCTTATGTGTTAATTTGTGAGAGACCAATCCAAGGCCCAACATCTCAACATTGGAATTGAGTAGAAATTGGGCCAAAAATGAAGCCCATGCATTTATTCCAATCATTTTAGCAAAATCATACCTGTTGTAAAATAATGATACAAGTAGATGGCCAACTTGTAATGGCCTTCCCCACTGTCTCTCCCCCACCCAATTATACAACTACCAACCACTTTATTTATGACACAATATGTATTATAGCTTTGGTGGCATATAAAAGGCCAAATGGCACTTTGGCCCCTAAAAGATTGGAAAATTTTTAATTTGCACAATGAAAGATTAATTGTTCCAAATTGCACCCTTAATGTTAATATTTGGTGACAATGTGGCCCCAAGACTGACGGACGTCGAACTTGCTGTTAACCTAAGCTATCACATGAGATGCACGTGATAACCTAAAGGAAAATCATGTAAAAACACACACACCCAATTCCCCCTTTTTTTTTTTTGGCGCCATGGCTCCATCAATGGAATTGATTTTGCCCTAATAACATCACATGGTGCAAATGCTGCCCAGTTCTATTCATCTTCCAAAGGCCTTCTTTGCTGCTTTGGTTGAAGGTTGCGAGTGAGTTGAAGCTTGAAAATTGAAAAAAGTCTTGGGTAGTAAGGGAAGAGAAATATAGATAAGAAGCACTGAATTATAGTAAGAGATTCCTTGTGCAATGTGAGTGTTTATGGTAAAGTTTTTATTCAAATTTGAGTGTATGTGTTCTGTATTATATTATTTAGAAATGGGTTTGTGTTTTGTATTATATTATTTTTGTTATGTTTTTATCTGATTCACGTGAGTGAATTTGGTTATATATATTAGTGGGGTATTAAACAATTGGGTTGTTTTGTTTGTGGGTCAGACATACCCATGCGAGTGTTGTCCTTTTGTTTGGATTTTCAATTTTTTAATTGTGAATGTTGTCTTCTTGTTTGAATTTGGCTGCAAACCATGGGGATGGTGTTTTCACAATTAGAATGCATTATGGTGGCCAATTCAAACATGGGAATGATCAAGTGTACGTTGGAGGGAGGGTGAATCACATTGATTTGTGTCACATAGACGAGCTTTCTTTGATAGAACTGGAGAATATGTTGAAAGTGATGGGACTGGGGCACTGCGGGATTGTCAGATTCCATCTTAGAATTCATAATGGATGGAAAGTTTTAGATGACGATGAGGATGTTTTGGGTTTGGGCAGTTGGGTCAACAAGCACAAAGTGCTTGATGTCTATGTTGAACACACCAGAGGTGATGTCCTTGATCAAAGCCAAGCAAAGTTAAATTGTGTTCCTACTGTACAACAGTTCGATGGAGAAAATAATGTGGGTTGTAGTGTTGTGGCTTCTGATAATGCATTAGACAATGATTCATCACAGTATGAGGAACACTCAAACAACTCGACTTCAGATGATGAGTACTTCTATGACAGTGAGTACGATTTGGATTGCGTACAGCTGCATGATACAATGGTTGATGAAGATGTGGGACTCAGGAATGAACAGACAAAGGGGAAGTGGTTGGTAATGGCATTGGAAGAAACTAAAGGAAATGGGTTCAAACCGATAATACAACAACAATGGGTACTACTGATGAGAATATTGGTGAAGACTGTGATTCAGATGAACTAAAGAGTATCCCAAATTTATCAGAGGAAGATGAAGATAGGGTGACATACCCAATGTTTAATGCCAAGACTGACATGGGTGATCCGCAATTCAAGTTAGGTATGTTATTTAAAGACTCAAGTGAGTTTAGAGTTGCTGTTAGATAACATTCTATTAAATGGAGTAGGCAAATAAAATTTGTCAAAAATGAGAAATATAGAGTGAAGGTCATATGTAAAGCAGGTTGTGATTGGATGATTTATGTGTCACGCATGCAAGGGCATAAAACAATGCCTGTTAAAGCATACATTAACAATCACAGCTGCAACAGATCTTTGAAGGTGAAGGCTGCAAATGCTAAGTGGCTAGCTAGTATATATGTTGAGAGGATTAGATCAAATCCAACATGGCCAGTGAAATACTTAAGGAAACAGTTGAGAAGGAAAATGTTCTGAAAATGCATAGAAGTATGGTGTATAGGGGAAAAATTAAAGCAATGGCATATGTCAATGGGACTAATAAGGAGCAATATGCTATTCTTTGGGATTATTGTTTAGAACTAAGGAGAACCAACCCAGGAACCACATGTATTATTAAAACCAAATCTATAGGGGGTGATCAAATCAAATTCAAAAGATTATACCTTTGTTTTGTTGCATTAAAGAGAGGTTTGATTGCAGGATGCAAACTTTTAATTGGTGTGGATTGGTGTCATCTTAAGGGGGGACAAATTGGTATTTTATTGTCAGTTGTGGGGATTGATGCCAATAACCAAATGTACCCCTTTGCCTTTGCTGTTGTGGAAAAAGAAAAGAAAAAGTCTTGGAATTGGTTCCTTCAACTAGTGAAAGACAACTTGAACATTGTTAATTCACATGCCTGGACATTTATCTTAGACAAGCAGAAGGTTAGATGTAATTGAATTCATTTTTTTGACCTTTGTTTACATTTATATCTTCTATGTAGTCATTATTTGTATACCTTTGTTGCAGGGAATTTTAGATGCAATTGAAAATCTTTTTCAAAATGTTGCTCATAGGTTTTGTGTAAGGCACTTGTACACCAACTTCAAAACAGTGCATAAGGGTTTAGCATTAAAAGATTTGTTGTGAAGGGCTGCTAAGTCTGCAAAAATGGTTGATTTTAAAGGAGTAATGGATGAATTACATAGGGTTGATGAAGATGCATATAATTGGTTGTGTGATAGACCAGCAATCAATTGGTCTAGGTCTCACTTTAGTACATTTCCTAAATGTGACATGTTGTTGAATAATTTGTGTGAAATTTTTAATGGGAGCATAGTTGAGGCTAGAGACAAGCCTATTATTATAATGCTTGAGAAATTTAGGGTGTGGCTCATGGAAAAAAATACACAGGTAGAGAGATTACTTGAAGAACTACAGAGGTTCTATATGTCCTAACATACAAAAGAGATTGGAGTTTGTTAAAGTGGAGGGCACATCTTTCATACCTGCTTGGAATGGAGAACACAAATTTGAGATGGTGGGGATGTATGGTGAGCAAAGAACTGTAAATGTGAAGGATAAAAATTGCAGTTGTATGAAGTGGGACTTAACTGAAATTCCTTGAAAGCATGCAGTTTCTGCCCTCAACTACTTNCAGAGAGATTACTTGAAGAACTACAGAGGCTCTATATGTCCTTACATACAAAAGAGATTGGAGTTTGTTAAAGTGGAGGGCACATCTTTCACACCTGCTTGGAATGGAGAACACAAATTTGAGATGGTGGGGATGTATGGTGAGCAAAGAACTGTAAATGTGAAGGATAAAAATTGCAGTTGTATGAAGTGGGACTTAACTGAAATTCCTTGAAAGCATGCAGTTTCTGCCCTCAACTACTTGGGGTTATATCCAGAGGATAATGTCGATGATTGGTGGAAGGTTGAAACATTTTTAAAGTGTTATAGTCATCTCATGAATCCAATCAATGGGAAAGACATGTGTGTGGCCTAGGACTAGATATGCTCCTATTCTTCCTCCAGATGTAGGCAGAATGCTTGGCAGGCCTAAGAAAGCTAGGAGGAGGGAAAATGATGAACCCCCATTAGGAACTAAATTTAAAAGGNTGCTCCTATTCTTCCTCCAGATGTAGGCAGAATGCTTGGCAGGCCCAAGAAAGCTAGGAGGAGGGAAAATGATGAACCCCCATTAGGAACTAAATTTAAAAGGAAGTACAAATCCATAAAATGTGATAAATGTAGACAGATTGGACATAATAAGAGAAAGTGCCACACTTCAGTTACTCTAGAGGACAGTAGCCCTCTCATGCACCAATACCACTAGCTGCTATAGAGGACAGTGGCCCATGTCATGCACCAATACCACCAGCTACTACAAAGGATAATGGCCTATCTCAAAGAGGTCCAATTGCATCAAAAGGTTGTCATTTATAGATGTCCAAGGGTCAAGTTACCTGTAAGCATTATTGTTGTCCAATTACATCATAAGGTATTTTTTAAAATTTTTCTACAAAGGTGGTTTAACTTATATTGTGCAATGTGGTCTAGGTCAAAAGGAAGAATGCTTCACAAGATGTTGCTAGGATTACTGCTGAGACTAATGAAAGAGGACAAGATGCTGCTAGGACTACTGCTGAGACTAATGAAAGAGGAGTAACTGCAACATACAAAAAGGACCAACGCTAGCAAAAAGGTCATGCTAGCAGATCTCCCAGTAGTTGCACAAGCCAATAGACCTCCCAACATTGCACACGCTAGTAGACCTCCCAGCAGTTGGGTTCAAACTACCAATTCCACCTGAGCAGACCTCCTAGGCATATTCAACATTTAGAGCTCAACAAAAGCAGTACCAAAACCAATGAGTAGCAATAATTCAACAAAAGTTTCATCGTTTCAACCAAAGAAAAAGGCTACAACAAAGAAAACATTAGGGGCAGCTGGGAAACAATGATTGACTTTTGTGCTTCACACTTTTGTTCTTGTTTTTGGACATAGATAGTGCATCTGTATTGCACTTGTTTTTTGTATATGGTTAATGCACTTGTGCAAGGTTGATTTTTGGTTTTTTTGTATATTTTTATTGCATTTGTGCAAAGAAATGTTATGTTTGCATTTTCTAAACATGAATGTATGTCAAGTTAGAACTAGAATATTACATACATGAGCAATATTTTCTGAACATGAATGTATGTCAAGTTAGAATTGGAATATTACATACATGAGCAGCATTTTTTGAACATGAATGTATGTCAAGTTAATTACATAATTCTTGTCTTCTACATTACATTACATCCGAACAACATAATTCAATGCTTTACATAAGTTACAACAAAATGAAGGCATAACATTGAATTACAAGTGCCCACATAGTCTCATTAACTTCAAATTAATACCCTTCATGCCACTCATATTCCCATCTAAACCATCCTATTCAACTCTAGCCTTGTACGAAATAATCAAAAAAATGAGCAGCAAACAAGCAATAAGACATCTTTTCAGTACGTTTGATTTGTTCCTGTTTCTCTCATGCTCCAGCTCTATCTCCAACTTGGTCACCCAACATAGCAAACTGGGTATGATTTGTTGAGCTCGACTACACATTGGAGGGTCCGCCCATACAAAATAACCACACAATCCACCATTCTGCACACATTAAAACTCAACACCATATAATGATTTAGAAAAAAAAAAACTTTGGAAAAATGTAGATATTCACATTGACAAAAATAATTGTTTCGAAATCTCTGATTCAAAGTTGGCTATGAGAATGAAATTTTTAAGAAATCAAGAAAATAAGGACAATGATATTACCCCATGGTTATCGCAGCAAAGAAATCACCACCCAAGATTTAAGTCTGTCCATGAAATGTTCACTGATGCTCTCTTACCACAGTAATAGAAACCCTCCATTCTTTCTCCTATGTTTTTATACTCCTTCCTTCTTCAGCGCTGGCATGGCATGGAATGGAAGTTATTAGGGCAAAATCAATTCCAGCGATGGAGCCATGGCTCCAAAATAAAAGGGGGAATTTGGTCTATGTGTTTTTACATGATTGCCCTTCAGGTTATCATGTGCATCTCACGTGATAGTTTGGGTTAATAGCAAGTTCGACGTCCGTCAGTCTTGGGGCCATATTATCACCAAATATTAACATTGAGGGTGCAATTTAGAACAATTAATCTTTCAATGTGAAAATTGAATTTTTTTCAATTTTTCAGGGGGAAAAGTGTCATTTGTCCCATATAAAAAGGCTTCTAGAGCTTGTAGGAAATGGGAACCANATCAGTCTTGGGGCCATATTGTCACCAAATATTAACACTGAGGGTGCAATTTAGAACAATTAATCTTTCAATGTGAAAATTGAATTTTTTTCAATTTTTCAGGGGGGCAAAGTGTCATTTGTCCCATATAAAAAGGCTTCTAGAGCTTGTAGGAAATGGGAACCAAAAAAAAAAAAGACTGAAAAGAGAAAGGAAAAGAATAGTGTAATCATGAAGATTAATATATTGATATATTAAGTTCCTAAATAATTTATTTTACATATAATTTTTTGTATTGTTCTCTTAATATTTCGTTTATGTCACAATATGTTATTAGCACGAATATCATCTAAGCAAAAACTTCATTTTGAAGATCAAGATTAGTAAGAATTTGAGTTTATATATTGCCCTTAAAGCTTTGTTTACAATTTGATATTTGTTCTTTGATATGTAAATTTATGGAAAACAATCATAGAAATGTTGAAGACTTCAGATCAATTTTTATAATTCAAAGAAGTCCAGAAGATTTTGGATGTCTTGATGAATTTAGATTAATATTTACAATTCATAGAAGTTCTAATGACTTTGTCATACAATTCTACAAACTTTAATTTTACGGATTGAATTATATATTATAATTATCAAGCTACTATACAAATTAAGATGACTTTTACTATAACTCATATATTTAAATTTTAAATTTATATATTAGTAGCTATTGATAAAATATTATCA